GCAGTGCCAGTGACAGCGGTCAATGTCGCCGTGTCCTCCCAGCCACGAGTGCGTCTGTATTTCTGAATATTATCCAGTGATAGTCATTTGGTTCCTCAAGAAATATTGCATAGGATGAGAAGGTTAATAGGCTAGGCTCTCCTTTTTAAGCACTTTAAAATCTCAGGGATAAATAGGAGAAACACCGAGCACCTTTAATAACGAGTTGGGATTCATGACTGACAAGAGAGAGGTCCAAACAAAGTGCTTCAGAAACCCGGGGAGGGGGTGAGCCTCTGCCAGAAGAGGTGACATAGAGGAAGCCGCCTTGATGAACAGGTGGAATTTCAACAAGTAAACATGGAATAAATTCATCCCAGAAACTGAGTCACAGGAACAAGCGGCTGCATAGACGTGGAACAAGGCAGTGGTCTCGGTGCCTTGGGAGGCTGAGCGACCTGAACACAGCGCGTCCCGGTACCAGCGACTCTTTGTGCCCGTGCGGTAATGAGGGCCTGGACGAGGGGCCACGTGACCGGGGAAAACCGTTGTCTGCTTTCCCGGCATCTCCTCTCGGGCAGGAACGGGCTAAAAGCTGGTGTCTAGGATGTGACACTGCTCTTAGAACCCACAGTCCAATACTGGAGAAAAAATAGGCAAGAAAGATTATATTTTTATCTGCTCAATTCAAAGCAGAACAAAACAAAGCAGCTAGTCCTCGGGGATTATCAACGGCTGGTACTAGGGAGCCTCCGATGACAGGCAAGCCTGAAGTGGGGGCAGCTGGGAGCCGTGTCCACAAGGGCGGTAATGCCTTTCAGGTGTGTGGAGGCTGCTCGCTCTGGCAGACTAGCCTGGGAAGGGAACTGCAGACAAAGGGGCCCCATGCAACGTGATGGAGGTGGAAAGCCTGCTGTGTTTGGGGACGTCATCTAAAGGGACACATGAAAGATTCTGAAATCCTCAGGGACCCCAAGTCATCCGACTGGCCTGAAGCTTTCTTTGTATCCAGTGAGGCTTAAAACAACGGTCCCCGACTAAGGTGTGTCATTTACAGACGTGTCTTGCACCCCGGGCGGCCGGCGGCCCCCAATGCTGTTGCTATCAGCACAGCCAGCTGTCTGGCTCAGAGCCCCGAGCCCCATGCTGGCACATCTTTGCAAAGAGTCACTTGCTTCCTGTGACACTGCATTATCTCTGACTTCAGAGTCCCTCAGCGTTGCCCCTAGAAATTGCACTCAGAGAAAGAAAGTCCCAGCTGTTGGTATTCAAATGTATTCCTTTAATATGCACAGATCTGGACACTTAAATACATCTACTGACACTTGATGCCAGTAGGAGTTTTCCCCAGAATATAAGCGGGTCTGATCCATCTGACATTTCTGACCATTTGTTAATATTCAGGAAGCTTTTAGAATTCATTGCCAAATACTCCTGACTTTAGCCCAAAGTAAATGCAGACTGCATTTCTAATTCTCCTACGGCCCAGGGCGTTTACACGCCTTGTTTCATTTTCAGCAATAAGTACCAATAATCAGAAAGCAAATACCAAGGTTGAATATTTGACTTGTAGATTTTGTAAAAATGTAGAAATTTGTTCGGTTCTAATCCTCAGATCAATATTTAGTACCGATACAAACTGGCACCGTGCAAAGGTGACCTTAAACGAGGGAACTCTAAGCGGGGAACGTGTGAGACTTTATGATGAGAGATCATTACTCAGTCTCTACTAACAACACCGGCCCCACACCAAATGGCACTGCTGCAGGTCTGTCCAGCGCAGGGCACCCCTGTAACATGAGAAACACAGAGTTCAACATTTCCACTGGCACAGTACATTTCTACAGAATGAGCAAGAAAATGGAACTTGATTAAATTTCCAAATCACAGCATCAATTTCTAAAATTGTACAAGTCTGCATAATTGTAGGAAGTTCTAATCCACGTGACTTGAAAGTACTTGAAAGTTAGAAGTGTTCAACCTCTGCATTTGTTGCGATGTGTAGGTGAATCTGCTGACATGCGTCACCTGTGTCACCCTGTCGGAAAAGTCACCAGTAAAAACCAAGGTGGTTTTTCTTAGGTTGCGGTCCTCCTGGCTCGTTGCAGTGTCAGGGGCAGATCCCCTGTGAGAGTGATTCTGAAAGCTCATCTAGGCTTTGGCGAAACCCTCCCTACAGATGAGACTCCATGTCTAAAATGTCACCTCACGTAGCTGCGTTCTAGAAAGGACACGTAGAATCATTAGCAGGAGTAGGAGCCGTGGGACTGAAGGACCCTGGGTTTCAGGATGTGCCCTCTCGTAGAAGCCAACGCACGGAACAAACTCTGTCTCAGAATTGTTTTACAACACAGACCAGGTCATCTGCGCATAGAGCTTAGAAACCTTCTAGAAACAGCCGCGTGGAGAGGCTGGTCCTGCTGCAACCCCGCAGGGGGGACGAACCATGGGGACTTGCCTGGCCCAGCACGCTGCCCTGCGTGTGTGACAGTGCAGTGGGCGACTCCCTCCGTCCTCACCCCCGGGGGACTTCAGACCATCGGCTGAGTTCACAGAGGGGCCTCGGCCCCTTTCTGTCCTGAGATCTCACTGGAGGGGCCGTTTGCAGAAGACTTGGACAGAGGACTCTTCCAGGCACCTGGCTTCTGTCACACCTGCGATGCGACCGCTGCTGTGACAGTCAGTGCACTCAGACGACCCTGCTACCGCTCCTGTGTTTTAGCTGCATTTGTTTGGTGGATTTTACCCCTCCTAAGCCAGCGTTAGAGGACACTGTTAAAAGACATTCCCTATTTGGGACATTATAACCGAAATATAGTAACAGTTTACAAATAAAAATGATAATACAGCTTTCCTTACAGGTGGAACGATGCGCAAAGCAGGGCCTGGGAACGGCTAAGCCCTCGCTCTGTGGCCAGTTCTCTGATGCCATCGTGGCGTCCGACGCCCTTCCGCAGCCCTGAGGACAGCCGGCGCCTCTCATTCGGTGCCTGTGTCAGGTCTGGGTGGGGGAGGCGAGCTGACCTTCGGTCAGAATCAGCTTAATTGATCTGCTGTTTGGAAAAACTGCCAAGGCAACAAAACCAGCCACGTATAGCATGACTTTTCTGACCTGCCCTCTTATGAACTTGAGGCAGGGATATTGTTCAAACAGATCTCATTTGCTCCCTCCCTCCTCTGCAACGTCACCTTGCTGACGATAGATTTAATTCAAACCCAGGAGAACACAACACTGCTGCACGTTGTCTTACGCAGAAATGGAGGATCATTCTAGATCCTTCCAGAATGGTGGTGTTAAGCCCAATAGTTGTGGGGCAATGCGTGGGCAGTTTTCTCTGCTTTGCGGAAGGCTCTCTCCTGGAAGTGACGCCCAGGACAGTACACCAGGGCCCTCTGCACCCACCCCAGTCTGAGTCCCGGCTCCCCAGGGAAGTTTCAGGTTCTGCGTGGATAATGGAGGAACCCACAGCGGTGTCTCTTCTTGTGTCCCCAAACCCAGGGGAAACACAGATGCTCCCATGTCAGTCCCTCCTAGGACTTCCCGTTTTGTTGATTTAATAAGATGTGCCTCCCATCACGGTGAGGAAGGAAGACAGAGGGCAGGAGAGGTGAGGGGGCAGGGAAAGACGGAGGAAGGGAAGGGGAGAGAGGGAAAGAGGAAGGAGACAGAACGGAGGGAAGGGGAGGGATGGCGAGTGAAGGGGGGCTCAGAGATGACAGAGCAGGACTGAACCCAGCCTCGCGCTCCTCTGTCCACACAGCGTCCGGCTGCTGTTAAAGAGAACAGTGTCCCTGAACTTGTTGACGTGGGTGAGGCTGACTACTGAGGACCATCATGTAGGTATAGGGACCATGGGGGGAAAGCAGCTGGGGCCAGAGGGGCTGCACCAAGGGCAACGTGGGGTCGGTGAATGCAAATTACTAAGAGGAAACGTGGCCAAACTGACCCCAGGATTCTTGCTGGAGGCAGGCCAGGTGATCAGACCTCACCTGGGGATGAGACACACGATCAGATATGAGGATGGGCGTTCCTGCCAAACAGACCTAAAGGGCTTCTTGGTAAAACTGGATTTTACAAAGAAGGGCACACATGGCCTGAGAGGAGGTTCCGGAGCCTGATAACAGTTGGTCAAGTAAAGAATCTTTGTCACTAATCCATCCCTCAACTCATGAGGAACCAGAAAATCCTCTAAAGGTCCTTCTCATTGGTCAGCTGTCTGTTATTGAAGCTTATTGGACACTGTGTCTGCCAGTCATCTCACATTTCAGATCCTTTGTGTCAGCACTCTTTACCTCCTCCTAACTATTAATGTTCACCCCGACTTCACCCGTGGGCCTCCACTTTCCCCGCTGAACATCCTCTTCAGGAGCAGCCCAGCACCACTATAGGTGGAGCCTTCGGCGGCGTCTCTCCTCGGTCTGCCCTGTGTTCAGGGCGCCCTCCTCTGAGCTGCAGATGGCGACGTCAGCTGACTGCAGGCCAGCCTCACCTGGACACTGGTCCAAACACAATTCCGACACACGGGCTTGCAATGGAACTGATTTCTGATCGTGGTTCCTCCTTTGGAATGTTACAAATAGTTTAATAATCCCCTGGAATCGCTCACACCAGAAATTCTTGTCCTCCTCATCTCCAGTCGGTTACAAACCCTGCTCATATTCATCCCAACGTTATCTTCCTTTCTTTTGGCTTTTATTTGGATACAGAATAACAAGATAAATATCATACAATTCCAAGAATGAAAATAAGTAAAAGAAATAAGCGGGAAACCATGATTGGGGAAATACCGTTAACACTTTCTTATTAGAAGTGTTGTGTTACCCACAATTCTTGAGAAAAATGAACAAGCTAAAAAGAAAGACAATACCAAATAAATAATATAAATTGGGAAAATTCTAATAAATTGTGCATCCAATGCTGTTATTCCCTTGACAGTAAAGGTCAACACATTTTGAATGTAGTACGTTTATAAAAGACAGATTCTCCAAAATGTTCTTGTTGGTTTTACTTATGTGTTTAGCTGGCCACTGCGGTTCTCCAGACCCGATCGTGAACGGTCACATCAGCGGAGACGGCTTCAGCTACAGGGACACTGTGGTTTATCAGTGCAGTCCTGGCTTCCGGCTCGTGGGCACCTCCGTTCGGATATGTTTGCAAGACCACAAGTGGTCTGGACAGACTCCAGTGTGTGTTGGTGAGTACACTGTCGGCTAGGCCACTGGGTGCTTCAGTCTCACGTTCCTTGTGTTTAAATCAGAGCACAGACATGTCTCATCTTCACAGTAAAACAGACAGACAGCTGTCCTGCGAAAGACAGTGTGGGCACACTCCCCGAGGTCTTGGGGAACCCCCGTGCCTTGCAGACCCCCCCATTCTGCCTCCTCCACTGCCCCCCCTAGACTCCTGCCCACACTTCCTTTGCTCCTTAACTCATCTCGGGTGGATTCCAGGGGGATGATGGCTGCATTCATGTCCCTGACTCATCGAAAGGTAACAGAAGCTAATCATGGGCCAGCGAAGATGCTGTCTGACTGCAGGCTGGCTCTGCAGAGGCCCCCAAATAGCCGCAGCCCTGTCCGCTCCTGAGAGGCTGCTGTTTCCATCATGGACACAGCAAGCGTACCGCTGTGTGAGCAGCCCTTGCTTCAGTAGAAAGAGGGGAAATTGTGTGACATGATTGTCCTCAAGCTTTATAACCTCAAAGATAAGTATTGACTAGTATTTTTAGAGGAGATTGCACCCGGTAATACAAAATTTGTTGTAAACAAATTGTGTTCTCCCTAACATACTCTTTATTTCCCTGTGAATTAAACAAAGGGATTGTTGATGTGACTATAGCGTGGTGACAGGGATTGTCTGTGAAAGCGCAGTGGCAGGTGTATAAGGTTCAAGGGTGAAAGCTTTACTTAGACGAAAAAATTGGTGACAAGATAAATGAGGAGAAAAACACCAGTTTTATGACTGTAATGTGTTTCTTTGGAGAGGCCCAGTGAAGGCTATCTTGGTGCTTTGTGTCGCTGTTATTTTGGGCATGACATAATGACAGTGCTACATTTCAAAGGACCATACAATAAGCATTGTCAAAGAAAATACCGTTGAGCTTGCACACTTTTTTTTGTTTTGCTTATTTCATGATGTTTAAATTGATGTGGGGATAATTAATGCATGCACAATTTAAATTACAGCCAAGTCCCTAGAACATATTTAAATGAGAAGCCCACCAAATTAGCTGTTGTGTACAAAGGGGAAAATATTCAAAACCCGTAATTAATACAAGAATTTTAGCATCTCTTGTTTTTCACTGCTTTATTTGAAAATGACTTGATATTCTGTCATAACGTGAGTAACAAACAATAATTATTATGATGCAGTAAGCACACTTCCCAGGTGTAGATTACTTTCCACAATTGTAACAAGTCCTGCAGGCTCAGCCCGTGGTCCGTTGTCCCAGCGCCCCTTCTACCCACGAGCTGTGCCGGGCCGGCTCGGTTGTAAAGCCCTCGTTCCGTGCATTCGACTTACCTGCGCGTTTGTAAGTAAAGACCTCCCAGCGGGAGCGAGGGCTGCCTGTGTCCTGACCTTGACACGGCCCTGTCTTCCCCGCAGCCATCACGTGTGGGCACCCTGGGAACCCGGCCCACGGGCTCACCAGCGGCAGCGAGTTCAACCTGAACGACGTGGTCAACTTCACCTGCAGTGCCGGCTACGAGCTGCAGGGGGCGCCCCGCGCGCAGTGCCGGAGCAGCGGCCAGTGGAGCAGCGCTCTGCCCGCCTGCAGAGGTAGGGGGGCCCGGGGCGGGCTGCGGGGCGCAGGGCGCCGCCTCCCGGGGGCGCAGGGCTCCTGGCGCTTCCCCGTGTGCTGTGAACGCGCTTCTGAGGACACTGCACGCGTCTCCGTGCCCTGTGTCCTGTTGCTGGACAGTCAATCAAAAAAGAAAAAGGAAAATCGAGGATTCTCTACACGAAAAGACAGCACACCTTCCATTTCTTTTTTCGTTCCTCCATTCACTCGTTCACGCCTACACCTCAATTTACCCTCTTTGGCCCTTCCGCGTCTAGACTTAGCATGTATTTAAGAAGCTTTTATTGATTTTAAGTCTCCAGGTTTTTTATTCATGTCTTTAAAAATTGTCACACGACCTAGGCTAAACTCTGAATTTCCAGGAAAATTCTGTTTCGTGGTTTCTGTATTTCCAGATGTTTGAGCTCATAATGTTGAAGGTTTTGCTTCAATTACTTTTCATTAAAACACCCCTCACAGAAGGTGAGTCATACGTTGGTGTGAAGGCAAAGTGATTTTTGGGGCAGCAGGATGGTAGTAAAGCCAGACATGTGCATTTCCCCTCTTCCGACAGCCACCCACTCCCCGCTGGGCCCCCGAGGGGGCTGTGTTCACATGACACAACAGCAGAATGGGAACACACGCGATTCCATTTTACCCGGAGTTGTGTGAAACCTGGCTACCAGCCCATAGGGTGACGGCAGGGCCGTGCTCTGGAGTGCTGGCTTCAGCTCAAACCCGAGGTCAGAGCCCTCCCCCACGCCCTGTGAATCACTACTGTTAGGGGCTGACATTCGGGGGCTGCTCGAAGGCCCCCCTCAAACCCGCTCCACACACCCAGCTGTAGCACAGGGCCCAAGCGACAGCTGGGGGTGACCGGGCGACCTGGGGACACAGCCAGACCTTGCCTCTGCACAGGGGCGCTTGTCCCCGGGGTGCCTCAGCACCAGCATCCAAGGGGGAGCAGCTTCCATTTTACCTAAACATGGTTTAAAAGGGAGAGGGCAGTTACGTTTTCCACTTAAACTGCTTTCTTCTTCCTCCATGACTTCCTCTGTCCCCCCACTTACTCTAAAAGTCAAGGGGAAAGTCTGGTGAGCTGAGCTGGGGTGAACACGTCTTCTTCCCTGTAGGTGTTGCCATCACAGCAAGAATTAGGGGAGATAGAAAACGCTCCACTAGAACACAGGTCAACAAATTTGCCAGTTGAACGTTTACAGGTGACAGCATCCAGTTGCGTTTTAACGAGCAGAAGGTCAGCGACTAGACACACGGGCTTTGGAACACGGCAGACCTGGCTCTGACTCTGGGCTGTGCTCGGCGGGCAGAGCGGACCCCGGCCCAGCTGAGGGTCGCAGAGGGGCCGCCAGGATGGGCCGGGCACCTGCCGGGTGCCAAACGGTCCTCAGTGACTGTCCAGCTCTCTGAATTCTGAGTCCGAGATGTCTGGGAGATCACAAGCACCCTGATCCAGACAACTTTTTTTGTTTTTTTTAGCTGAGCCATCCTGCCACCTGTTGGCAGCTCAGCTCGGGCTGTGCATCGAACTGCTGTTGCTCAGCGCTCAAACTCTAGAGCGAGCTCTTAACCAACTGAGCCACTCACCCGGCCCTAGACAACTTCTTTTTTTAATGACAGCATTTTCCCAGGATAGCCCTGCTGTGGAGTTGCTTTAATTCATAATCTCTCATTCTTTTCATTGGAGTTCAAACATATTAAGATTACACTTAAATTTAGGAAATAGACCAAATGTTAAAATGGGATGTAAAAAATGAATATGTTTCGTGCATTATTTTCCTCAGGATAAAATGCCGTCAAGTTTTGTTTTCCCCCTCATTTTCTGTGCCATGAGTCAACAATTTTGTAATTACACAAAATTATAGGTGGACATGCAGGTAGACATAACACAGAGGCCCTGTGCACCCTTCACCCACCTCCCCGATGGCAACGTGGTACGAGACCAGAGTACCGGTCCAGCCCAGGCAGGGACAGGGAGTGGGCAGACGGGGCAGCAGTACCCCGGGGACCCCATTTCCACTCAAGACCACACCCGCCTCCCCTTCCCTACCCTTCACCCCTGGAAACCCCATCCGGGGACCATCTCTACAGTTGTCACACTTGAAGGATGTTATATAAATAAATAGGACCATGCACTTTGTAACCTCTGGGTATGGGCTTTTCCGCCCTATACGAGTCTCTGTGGAGTCATCTAACTTGTGCCTGGATACCTCGGGGTTTGGGGATTTTTGGTTGCTTCTTCCCACTGACCAGCGCTCCCTGGTATGGCTGTGCCACAGTGTGCTAGCCACTCACCCAGGAAGGGCGTCTGGGCCGTTTCCACGGTTTTGCCGTTACAGGTGATGCTGCTGTGAACCTTCACGTGTGGGATTTTGTGCAATCCTAAATTTCCATTTCTCTGGAAAGAAAGGCCCAGAGTGGAACGGCTGATTCCTAGGGAATTTGCACGTCTCCTTGTATAAGAAACCGGCAGGATCTTTCCCGGGGTGGCCGCCCCAGTTCACATTCCCACTGCGTTGTTCCTAACGCCCCCCGCCCAACCCCGCCTCCGGCGTCGCCGCCATGTGCCGACTGCAGCCATTCCGGCAGATGTGCAGGGATGGCCCCTCGTGGTGTGACTGCGCGTTCCCGATGGCTGAGGACGCTGCACATCTTTCCACGGGCTTCCGTGCCATCTGTGCCCCTCTCGGTGGCATGTCTGTTCATTTCTTTTGCCTATACCCTAATGAGATGGTTTGATTTTTTGTGTGTGTGTTTGTTTTTGTTTTAAATTGAAGTTTATCGGGATGACAATTGTTAGCAAAGTTACGTAGATTTAAGGTGTTTGGGTTTTGGTTGTTCAGTTTCCAGTGTTGATTTTAAGAGTTCTTTGTATAGTCTTTATGCGAGGCACTGGTTGGGTTTGTAACTGACAGATCCTTGCTGCCAGCCTGTAGCTCGTCTGTTCATCCTCTTCACAGGGTCCCTGGAGCAGCAAAAGCTTTGCATTTGTCACTTTTCCTCATGGTTTCCATGTCAACTCCAACAACACTTTGCCTAGACCCAGGTCTGCAAGATATGTTCCTGTATATGTATTTTTTAAGTGTACTTTTCCTTTTTCTGTGTTTTAAGTTGGTACTCCATTTAATGTCAATTTTTGTATAAAGTATGAGGTTTAGGTCAAGGTTTTCTTTTTTTTTTTCTTTTTTTTTATGTTATTGGCCTATGGATATTCAGTTGTTCAGGCACCATTTGTTGAAAAGGCTCTTCTTTTGCGCCTAAAAAATCAAGTGTGTGCCTTGGGTATCTTTCAAGATGCTTAAAATTGTCCTAAAAGTTTTCAAATAATTAAAGAGAAATATTGTCTGGAATTGCTCCTGTATTTCTAACCTGATAGGAGAAGGTAGAATTTTAGACTGAAACTTTGTCTGTGACTAGGATTCTTTGACACTTTTAATTAATTGACCCTACACAAACCTGGCTGCATTCACAGGTGAGTGACCCACTTTTCACATAAAGATAGACCATTGATGAGAATAACTTCTATATTTCCCCACATGTAAGTTATTTTCCACAAATTTTGTCACAAAGCATTTGTTTTCCACTATAAAATGTCCGTAGTATAATGTGAAGGGTCGTGCCGTGGAATGTGGGGAGCACCTGCTCGTTGGGGACACCCCAGTGCCCCAGGCTGCTGTCACGTGGGGACAGTGCTTCTGGCCTCAGCAGTAAAGCTCTGCGGGGGGAGGAGCCGGACCCCTGCTCTGGAATCAGCAATTCTCGGTCCTCGCTTCCCCTCAGCAAACCTCGGTGGCGTTCGGAAACACTGTGAGGCCTAGCGCAGACTCGGGGTTGATTCCAGACGAAGCCGGAGGACCCACATGATGATTATGGGGGACAATTATACACGTCAGATCACTGGCCCGTGCCATTTCCTAGGCTGTTTGCAGGTGGTGTTTTTTGCTTTAATAACCACAGCTGACAGTAGCTTCGTTTTGTCTGCCTTCCTCAATGAAACGAGGCGAGCCATGTGGGTTGAAAGACGGTGACCGAGGGCGGAATCCTTCCAGCTGCACTCGGTCCACACAGTAAAACTCCACGCAGGCTCGTCTTGACAACACTAAAGACAAAGCCGTTTCTCCTTTGTATTGAAATCGCAGGATTAGATCTGTGTCGTCCAGAGCCTTGTAAGTGCTCCACTCAGTTTAATGAGGATTCAGCTTCACACATGCTTTCAGTGATGAAAGATATATCCTTCTTGTAAAAAAAAAAAAAATGGAAGCAAACTCCCTAAAAATACACGTGCTGTAGGCAGTTGAGAGCCCTTGAGACCTGGGCACGCGCCTCAGGGCCCATGCCCCAGTGGGTCCTTCTGGAAGGGAAACTCCAGAAATCTAAAAGTGACACATGCAGAGTGTCGGGAAGCGCTCGGCCTGCTGAGGTGGACATTTGGTAATTAATGCACGAAAGAAGGCACATCTAATGTCAGCCTTCCCCAGAGGGATGAGGTGGACCACCTGCCATTTGGTTACTCCAGGTTTGGGAAGCTGTGCCCTGACTGGGGGTGGCCTGGGTTGTCCCCACATGAAGAAGTTTGCAGAAGTACGTGAACTTATCTGAGATGAGCAAAGGGCGCTGCTCTGGGACTCGGGACGACGGGGTGGGGTCCTCACAGTGTGACGTTGGACAAGCCCATCACCACTCACTTCCCGAGGCATCAATCCCATCTCATGGCCCACATGCGTGGACTAAATGCCTAAGCTCCTTAGGTGTGTGTGTGTGTGTGCGCTTGCATGTGCGGGCATGTGTGTGCACATGTGTGTGTGCGTGAAAGCCACTCTGCGTGCATGTTTGTGTTTTAAAAAGAAGAGGTGATTTAAAATTACATGAACATAATTAAGGAAACTACTGAAGTGGTGGCTGCACACATAATACTAAAATGTGGACCAACTGGCCGTTTCTTCAATGGAATGTCAGAATTACTTCTGTTCGCTGAGACGGGTGAGCTGATCAGTGTTTAAGTGTAAAGTAAGACTGTCAGTGCTTGGACACAGACGTTTCAGAAGCTCACTTAAGAACGAAGTGTAAAAACTCTGCACTTGACACTAGAGTAGGAAATGGCTTCAGGTTTCCATCTGCGTAGGTTTCGGCTGAAATGAAACGCGCTGTGACGCGTGTACCCGCTACCTCTCTGTAGTAGGCGGGACTCAGTCAAAAGACCAAGTATCCTCTCTCTGTGGCTTTTTGTTACTCATACTGAAATCTCAGATGCAAAATACTCAGAAGCACTGGGGAGAATGCTGCTTTTTTGTATAAACACTTTTTTTCTGAACACCCTCTATTTTCCTAGTATTCTCATACTCTAATGGCCTGTACCTATTTCACATCTTTGCATTTTAAAAAAGGAGTATGTTTTTATTAACTATTGATTAATTATAATTTATACCTTCAAAAATTGTTATGCAAGAGTTTGAGCTCTGAGCAACAGCGGTTCGAGTCCAGCCCGAGCTGAGCAGCCGCTGAGCTGTCAACAGGTAGCAGGATGGCTCAGCTAAAAAAAAAATAAAAAAAAAATAAAAAAAATAAAAGCTGCTCTTTCAAACGCATGTGATGAAGAGGGGAGGGGTGGGCTGACAAGCACCGTCCCAGGGATGTGCGTGGATTAGAATACCCAGATCGTCTCCTACGTTCTTCTGCTGATGTTTTCAGCTCCTCGCTATGGCTTTGTTTCATTTTATTTCCAAACTGACAGCTACGTCCGTGTCTCTATACCCCGTACTCAGCCGAGGGCCAGAGGGGCCATCAGGGAAAAGTGTGGCCCATGGTTTCAGAGCAGTTGGGTATGACACTCCTGTATTCTCGACTCCTCCTCCGGCTGTGGAAACTCAGAGAACATTCCATTTCTGGGCCTGCAAAGGGAAGGGCTTCTCTGCCAGCGATGCCTGTCTCTTACTTCTGACCTGCTGGGCGTCCGGCCACGTGCTCAGTAAGGCCCCGGGCCTGCCACTCGCATCCCTACTGGGCGCCTCTGCTCTCGCGCGGAGGAGAGTCTGAGACCGCTCGTGGCCCATCTCCCGGGAGGATAAGCCCCCCGCGTGAACACAGCAGTCTCTGGCATCGCTGCCCATGCAGGTGACTCACCAGGAACCTGCTCCTGCGTCCGGGGCTGACCTGCAGCTCCATGAGCTGGAGGGGCCCGTGCATGGTCTACGGGTCTTATGAATAAGTAACCTTTCATGGTTATTAGACTTTCTGTTATTTCAGTGGGTTTGGCTGCAATCTTATTGTGGATGCAATGAGCTATGAAGCCTGAAAAATATCTGCCTGTGCTCCATCAACGTGTTTGGTTTTTTTGTTTGTTTGTTTTTTTGGTTTGTTTTTTTTTTAACCAAAAGAGGTTGAGTCTCTCTTCTCTAAACTCAGAGTTGTTTTAAAAAACCACAGAATATTGTTCCAAGGCACTCAGAGGGATCGTTGAACCCCTCTCTTCTGCCCAGGCCTTCCTCCTTAGTCCAGAGAGGAAATCCAGTGCAGGGATGGGGGAGGGTGCCTTCCACTGCTGGGACCAGCCACCCAGGGACCGCCTCGCCTGCCTGACACTTAGGTGCACTGCAGCTGGCTTTCTGGGCCAGAAATATCTGGAGGGTGCAGCTTGCCAGCAGCTGCCTCACTCACGGGTGGGGGGTCAAAGCAGGAGATAGTCAGGGGCTGTTTGTTCCCTTCGCAGCTGCAATGCCCCCCATGCCAGCAGCCACTCAGGCCCCTGGAGGGCCTCTCAGGTTGCAGAGCCTGCCCTGCAGCAATTTGGCTCCTTCTGGAGGGGAAGGGGTGGCTTACATCAGAGGCGGCTCAATTTACATTTCTATGGAGTGTGGATGGAAGAATTGCCGGGTTTAATTGCATTCCGTATATAACAGGAATTAAGCACACAGTGGAAGCATCAATGGTGGTCAGTAAGGGGGGACGGATGCATCAATGACTGTGTTTCAGAGGGTCCTAAAATACCACACTTGAGTCAGAACATCTAAGCTACGCTGACATCAGCAGGTTCTAGGTTTATGTTCCCATAACAAAAACTCAACCAAGAAAGCTAATTTTAGACTTCACATTGAAGCAGCCTACTATCAGGAAATAGTTAGAGATTAGCCTCACGTTGTTAAAATTGCTACAGCGGCTGATTTATTGCTTGACATTTTTTTAAGCACTGGGGCCGGAAGCAGTAAGGAGATTTCGACCGTCAAGAGAGTGGAGTTGATCAGCCTCGGCTCTGAGGTTGCTGTGTGACGAGCTTTCTAAGATGAGGCACTTCCTTCCTTCCCATCTGTCTGGGCCTAAATCCCATGTCACGTGTTCTCGTTTCCAGTGGTCAACTGCTCGGATCCGGGCTTCGTGGCCAACGCCATCCGCCACGGGCAGCAGAGCTTCCCCGAGAGCTTTGTCTATGGGAAGAGCGTCATGTATCACTGCAAGAAGGGCTTCTACCTGCTGGGTTCCTCCGCGCTCACCTGCATGGCCAACGGCCTGTGGGATCGCTCTTTACCTAAGTGTCTGGGTAAGTGACGGTTACTGTGGATTCTCGTGACATCAATAGAACAATGCGGTCTTTTTCCAAGTACTGGAAAAGGTCTGCCCCCAACACCCCCAATCACAAATGGCATTAGTTACCGTGATATCTTTCTACATTGTCCAGAAATCACAAACTAGAACTCCAACTAGTTCAAGGGGGAGAACAGTGGGAGCCCTGGGATTCCTCTCTCAGTTTCTGTGTATCACGGCTTGTCTTCTGCTGCAGCCCAGCACATGGGCTCAGTCTGCACAAGCCACACATGGAGGCCTCATCACCACACACCCACACCTGTCAGCTTCACGCTGCCTGGCCCCAGGTGCAGGAATATTGGCCAAGAGCCCTGGTGTGGGGTTCCCACCTGTGGACCTCGTGTCTGTGGCCAGAAGGATGGAATGTTTTGAGGGATCTAATTTGGGTCTCATGAGCACTGCTGGTTCCTTCAGTAGTAAATACAATAAAAACGATGGGACCTTGATAGTAACTTCCCGTACGTTCAAATCAGGGGAAGGCATTTTTCCCTGAAGAGTGGAGGTGCTTTTCTAGGTGACAAAATAATGTATCCCCATTAGGGCCCCCCCTAAAACATTATTATCATTTTAGACCATGTAGATTAACAAGAACACTTTTTTTTTTAACCCAAAGAGTTCTAGTCTTATTTTCCTTCACTTGAAAAATATGTCGTCCTTGAGCTCAAAGAGAATCATCTTGTTAAAAGACAGTCTGAAATTTAGGGAAAGGGGTTACTCTCCTCGGCCTTTTAAAAATCAGAAACGAAACAATCCTTAAAAATCTCGTCGTCTTAGTATTCATTCTGTGTGCATAAGGAAAGCGGGAAATAACAATTACATTATGAATTGCACTTCCTGAAAAATAAAAAGTGCTAGTCCTTTTTACCACTTGAAATTGCTGCATCTCCGTACATTTTCAGAATGGGTTGGTGCTGGAGACTTCTCCTGCCCACCAGTGTCCTTTATAACCCCTTCCAATCTGCATGGAAGTTCACCTGTAGTTCTAAATGTAATGACACAGTCGATTTCATAGAGAAAAGAGCAACAGTTTTCAAAAACAAATACACAACTTCATATGACACATCAAAAGTATGCATCTGTAAATGTATTATGTGATCTTCATCACATTTTATCTGCTATCTGGTTTTCTCTGCCTTCACATGTGGGATTTTTTTCAGAGAAATTTGTTTGTTTGCTTGCTTTTCTTTTTCTCCCCAAGATCTCTTTGCAGCCTTCCCTGGCCCGTGCGAGAATTGCATTAGCTTTTATAATGATGCCCATGTGCTCCAAATCTCCAGGAACTAGCTTTTCACTGGCTCTGGTTTTCTTAAGGGACCAGCTCCCACCACGGGTTGCCGTTAGTGATTGGAATTACATGTCCCCAGGGGAGCGGTCTGCTTTCTCAGGCCCTATGGCAGCTAAGCCTCTTCTCTCCTTTTGCTGTTATATTGTTTCACCGATTTTTTTCTCTGTTTTATTTTTCCTGGAACTGGTCATTACTAACCATTTCACTGGGTCAGCTCAAATTAGCATCCTTTTAGGACTCTATTCTGGATCAAATCGTGTTCTCCAATGAATGGCTGTGTTGTTGACCAGTGAATGAAGACAGCACCTCTGTAAGGGCTAAATGCCTTTCAGCCATTTCAAGCCAGGTTTCTGGATGATACCACTTTAGAGCCACCAGAGACCAAAAGCTATTACTCTAGGATGGGAAATCAGCGGGCTTTGAATAACTTGTTGGTAACTTGAGTCCAGTTAGCTGTTTGCACGTAGCATAAAATTTGCCCTTGTTAGCCCTAATTAGGGACTTTACAGAAAGGGAGAGCGAAACCTTCCTTATCTTATATTAATCTGTATTCCAGAATATGTCTTTTTACGGGATAGTTTATGAATAAATTATGGGCCTGATTTGGTATAATGGTAAGAAAATGAATGGGAATACTCAGATTATTTTATAGAATAATTTGAGGAACAAATCAATGGCTCATGTATTATTATTATTAATAGTGACTTATACATTTTAGACTGCCAGTTATTCAGAGCAAAATTGTTAGAATTGTTTTCCTACATACGTGAACTAGGAGAGTAAGCAAGGTTTTTTCCCCCCCAAGCAAAGTATATGATTGTTACATTAACTGAAGAAATAGTGCAAATAGTTTTGATGGATCTGAGTTAATGTCTTACACTTTAAATAATGCTGCTTATTTGGGTAACAGTTATGGGCAGATGCAAAAACTTTACCTAAAGTGACTTTCTCTTTGAAAGCCTAAATAAAAACCGTGCCCCTTAAGCAAAGCTACCTTAATTTAAAATTGAAAAAGAAGTCTTCATTGACAGAACCTCTCTTTGTCTTCATATATATTATAAATATGTGGGGTGGAGGAGGCATCAGCAGGAAATTGGCATTCCATGTGATGGGGATATAGGGTACAGGGTATATTTAGGTGCTTTTTATGACTAGGAGGCATCTGTACGGGTGGGAGACGTACCAGTGCAAAGTAGTTCAGCAGGAATCATTTACTCACTTGTTCTATTTTTTTTCTTAAGCGATATCGTGTGGGCACCCGGGGGTCCCTGCCAACGCCATCCTCACCGGGGAGCTGTTCACATACGGGGCCACGGTCCACTACTCCTGCAGAGGGACCCGGACTCTCATGGGCAACAGCACGAGGGCTTGCCAAGAGGACAGCCACTGGAGTGGCGCCCCGCCGCACTGCTCGGGTGAGCGGCGCCTCAATTCGGTCGCTATCTGAAACGCTGTACAGGAGTACAATTGTTTTGAAGCTGATGTTATTCCATTACCAAATATGCTGCTATTATATGTCATCATCACCGTGAAATACCTGCCCCTTCCCACTGCCTCCTGCAGGCGTCCAGAAGTTTCTGTCACCCTGGCTGGGACGCGCGCTTGCTTTGGTTCAGTTTGTCCCTGTTTGCTCTTTATTCCTTTTCTGTCCTTCCTCTCAATTCTCCCACGTCTCTTCTGTCTCTGTAATCAATCATTACATTGATCTCCCTTGAAAAACTTGGTCATCTCCATTCTTCCATGACTGTTTCTTCAATAAATAAAGTTCAGTGAATTGGCAACTCTGGACATAATTGAGAAGGATCAAATCTCTCATTGGATTTTTTTTGTTTGCTTATTTCATTCCCAACACGCTTGGCCCCTGTCTCCCCTTAACTGTCCACGAAGACGCTTCCAATAGCACTGAACAGCTCCGTTTCAAACAAGTGTAACCACGTTGCCACATGTGTTTATGTTAAATAGGAAATAATCCTGGATTTTGTGGTGACCCGGGGACCCCAGCCCATGGCTCTCGGCTTGGACATGAATTCAAAGCCAAGAGCCTCCTGCGCTTCTCCTGTGAAATGGGGTACCAGCTCAGGGGCTCCCCGGAGCGGACCTGCCTGCTCAATGGGTCCTGGTCGGGGCTGCAGCCTGTGTGTGAAGGTGAGTCCATTCACGCCTGAAAGGCAACCCTGACAGTTAAAACCATGTAATTCATTCTAAAATGACCAGCAATATTCCACAGAAATCCGAGAGCTTTGGACTGTGTGTACAATGAAGCTATTCTCTCCCTCTCCCCCCCCCAAAAAAATGTATAAGAGGATCATTAAAAAGCATAACCGACTATATGGAGGTAGCCTGACTGTTCCAAAGATCACATGTCATCCATTCTTACCCTCTGGAAGTTCATAACCTCAGGAGGTTTCTGCTCGTCCTGGCCACAGCACCATGTGACTTTGCGTCGTTCTGTGGTGCTTGTGGTGAATCGCTGAGCTAAAGAGCATGTGAGTCACTGATGGAGTTTGTGCCACTAGAATAGCTCTCAGCCCCCCTGGTATTCCAGTCCACTGGCGGCCTTGTCCAGAGCATGGCGCTGCAGAAGAATCAGGGTGATTCTGTGTGTAATATTTTGGAGTGAACGTATTTTATTTTAACATGGGAGAGCTATAGTAGGAAATGGTGGGATACCCCAATAATAACAGTGAAAACATCCTGATTGCTTTACAGAGGCCGCGTCACATAGTGGCCATGCCGCCTTCGCAAAGTGAGCTGAGACACCATGGATTTGGTTAGCGTCCCAAAAATTACAAATTTACAATTCAGACAGATAAGACTCCAAATGATACGAACTGTGTGCATGCAAAGTTCTCTTGCTTACTTTTTGAGACTAAAATGGTTATATACATTTATTAAATATCTATTTTTATATGCATGAAACATTTTTATGTAATTTGGTCACCTGGAGTAAGCTCACACAAAATCAATACCAGAAATATAAATCAAGTTTTCTTAATCTTCACTTTTCTACTCTCTTATGCCCTCTCTCCTTGTACCTCTTATTTTGTCATACATGCTTTATTCATAAATAGAAAATAATATATGTATCTAATATAGCTATATTGTATCTAATCTAACTATATTATATATAATTTACATAATATAAAATTGTATATGTATAAGTAAGACAATTCTATATATGTGTGTATATATAGTCTCACTCAGAGGCAAAGATAATCTTGGAGATTAATTATATATCTATATTTAGATATATATCTATATATCTAAATATTATAACCCAAGAAAAGTTTTTACTTCAAATTGCCTATTGACAATCAAGTTAGTATAAACTGAACATTAAGCTCACAGAAGTTGACTTAAATTAAATATGACCAAATACATAGTAGTGGGAAAATGTCACCTGCAGCTATGAATTTCAGGATTATGACTTTTTGTTGACTGAAGCATGTGACTGTAAATTAGTATAGTTTTTTTCACTCAGACACTATTTTCTCACTTCCCTCCCATTGTGTACAGATTTAAATATTAAAATTTGCATGACAACATCTCTTTCTCACCAAGGCCAGAGTGTTCTCAGTCTGCAATATCGCGCCTCAGTGTATGACTTTTAGAATCTACGGCTGCATCCAATTTAACGTTTTCCCTCGAGACTATACCTGTGAATTGTTGGTTCAGAATATATTTGAACATCATAAAAGTTAATAAGACTCTCACTTCAATTCATGACATATTAAATGGTACTAGGTTAGCCTTCTTACTGAAAACAACTATAAAACTTTATGAAATATATGAGGCAATTATCGTAGTTATTAAACAACCGATAGGATGTGACTTTGTTTCTTAGAAGAAAACAAATTAATGAGGTGAGCGCCGTACCTGCCCCCCCCCAGGATTATGTATATTTTCACACTGTGAAGCAGGAAAGCAGAACCCAGGTGGCAAAGCGGGCGTGGCGAGTGATGAAGTAGACATCGTGTGGGATACTGAAATGATCTGTGCAGTGTAGGGCATGCAAGGAGGAGGAGCTGCATATGGAAGAGCCCATAAGTCTGGGTGGGTGTTCACTGAGGAACTCGGCTGAGGGCTAGGCTGACAAGCACAGGTGATGCTTGTAAGTGATGCAAAGAGCTGCTGCTGCAGAGCTGGTGGTAGACGCCTGATACTAGCAGCCACACCTCACTGGGACGCACCGCAGTCAGAGCTCTCGTTGTGCATGCCGGACATTTCATGGAGGCCCAGAAAGCCCATCGTTCTGAACAGGTACCTCTCCCTAAGTAAGGAAGCCATGCCAGAACTAAGAACAAACACACGTTAGGACTAGGACTGATTAGATCTCCTCTAAGAAAGCATGAAACTGATGGCAGGACCCAAAAGCTATACAACTAATTTAAAAGCCCACCAGAACAAAGCCCAACACTTTCAAAGAAATTACATACTCCATAAAACACTCCCTCCACAATGTCCAGCATACGATAAAAAATTACTAAATATGCACAACTCAGAATGAACAAAATGCCAAACAATAGAAATTGAGCTTGAGATGACCTAAATATTATAAATAACCCACAAGGACTGAAAGTAGCTTTTAAAAATATGGTAAATGACTTAAAGTAAGTTAGAGTCATAAACAGCGAATCTCAACAGAGAAATGAAAATAATAAACAAGTCAAATGTAAACTGTGGAGCTGAAAATAC